GTGAAGTCTTTTTCTGCATTTGCACTGAACAGAAGTGAATTTTCCTTTTGTGATGAAAAGTACATCTATATTTTTTTAAGCTTTTGTCACCGACATTGTAAAATACTATATTGTGCAATCCATCCCTTTCCTAATTTATATAAGTTTAAAGGAGCTTACTGCCTAAGGGAGCTCTCCATTTGTAGCTCATTTCTTTCTCTACCATACATTTTGGGGTTTTTTAAGAGCTCTGTGATCTTTCCTTATCTGCCTTTAGGTTGCTCCCTGTGAGTTGCCCTAACACCTGCACATTGGTGCCTTAGTGCTCGCTGCAGGTTATTGAAAGCGCATAACAAAAGAGAAGATACATAGCTTTAAATTCCGTAATAGAAAATAATGTTCTGTGACCTCCCTCATACTGTTAAATTCAGTGTGACATCTGAAGCAAGAAAGTGGAATGCTCTAAAGAAATCCGTTAAAATTGGCTTTTAAATTGTGAACCAGGAGCTGTGTCTGCTGCAGAGACATCAGTGGCTTTAACTGAGGAAAATTCCTAACATTTGTGAATATAAATCCTTAAAATCTGTTTGACCTCTTTGAAAAATCAAAGGTGAGGGTTTAAGGGACACTGGGATTATGAAGATTAACTCCCATTCCCAGCCAACTGTTCCTAGTGGCAGAAGTTCTGAGAAAAATACTTTGCTGTGTGGTGGAAATAGCTGATAAGGCATTGTCCTACTCCTGCAAAGGGAAGTTTTAGACTTGTGATGTGAACTAGCTGGAGTGCTTGTTCCTTAGGGGTAGCTCTGGATTAAGGTAGTAATAATTCAGGAGAGAATCAAAGTGAGGGATCATGAGCTTTTGAAGTGCAAAGGAAAACCATGATCACGTGTATTGTGATGATTGCCAGCCTGGTCTGTACCTCAGCTGCTGTAGGTTATGTTTGTACTTTTAGCTGGGATGCAGCCAGAATGTTTCTCCTTCGTTTGTTTATTTGTTTTTTTAAGCTTGAGAAAACAAATGAGTCATATCCTTGCACTGTAAACACCACCTTGTTCTTACTTTACTTTGCAAGGTATTTATTTTGTCCTTTCAGAAGAACAGTTGATTCTCCATTTCCCTGTTAAAAATTATACCAGCAACTTGGAGCTTTCTTTGCTTGCACTGAAGAACCTTATGATTTTTATCAAAACTTAGATATCGTGTCTAACCTGGAATTCCTGTATTCAAAACCTATTTTTTTGTGTTCTGCTCCCCAAAAGAGCCTGGTTTGGTACACAAGGGACAATATTTTAAGACGGAACAGTTTGTGTTTGTGTGTTGCAGGGGAATGTGGGGTGTGCGTTGAGAATTGCATCTTTCTGAAAGTGAAAGCCAGCAAAATGGATTGTAATTCTAAATGTCATTAAAGCCTTCTTAGCAGAAAGATAAGCCATTTAAAATGTGGCATAATGCATATCTTGTTTTGGGGCTTGGGGCTGTGAAATGCAGATTGCTTCTGGCTGCTGGACTCCCTGCTGCAGTACACGTCCTACGGGGTGATGCCGCCGAGCCTCAGCCACTCCGAGCACAGGCAGCGGCCGCCGTCGGGAGCCGGCTTCTCCCTCCCCGAGCGCATGGAAGGTGAGACACAGCCGCAGTGGCCAAGCACAGCCCGAAGCTGAGGGACTCACAGGCCAGGAAGGCTGGGGCAGATCCCTTGAGTTCTGTGCCAGCAAGGTTGGTTGGCTGTGAGCTCTGCAGTGTTGTGCTGTTTCACTGGAAGAGAGCACATATTCCAGGGTTTTGCTGTGATAATATAGTTGGGATTCGACTGAAAAAAATGTTTTTTTCATAGAGTAGGAATGTTCAGATGCCTGGTTCTGTAGGGGGGCATTCTAGTTGCTAGCAACAGAGCATTATAAAGCGTTCAGTCTTATCTCACATACTGCCAGAAAAACTTGGATTAACTGCTGTGGTAGGTGCAGGCTCCTACTGTTTTGTATGGTACCCTGAGGTTAATTCTGATATTTAGCTGTGAGTCCTCGTTACTGTAAACAGCTCCTGGGTTTACAGCAGCACTCTTTAGCCCAGGGTCAGTGTTGGTAACTTTTATCTTGCTTGTCTTTGGGTAAAAAAGCCAAAGCCTTTCTCTGCTGTGAGTTGCAGGTAACCATTTGCATCGCTACTCAAAGGTGCTCGAGGCTCATTTGGGAGACCCTAAACCCCGTTCCCTTCCTGCTTGTCCTCACCTGTCCTGGGCCAAACCACAGCCTTTGAATGAAACTGCCCCCAGGTTAGTATATGTCTTTCTTGTACAAGAAGTCTCACTTTTGAGTTCAGCTGAAAAATAATTTGTTCTAGCTGCTTTTGAAAGGGACAGCTGTAATGCCTTTTCCTAGTAAAATACCAGATTGCAAAGAGGAAATAATGATTAATGCCTCTTCAGTGAATAATTTTGACTCACCTAATAGCTACACTATGAAACCCAGGGATTTAAAAAATAACTTCACAAGTCACTGTTGTGATTGAGTGATTCCAACTTCAGGTGAACAGTCTTGATGAAGCCCACTGTCATCATGTGCCTTGGAAAGAGTTTTCTGAAGCATTTTCTTGGACAACTCTCCTAGTGATGCCTTCTCTTGTGCCATTTGTTAGTCCCTTGAAGGAGAGTGCTCAGCACACAGCCCTTGCTTGTCTGCTGGTTACTTTTGGAAGTCTGTGTGCAAGAGAGTTGTTGGTACATAGTTGCTAATCTAGGTTGTGTCCCTGTGGTGTCTGAATTTAAATTTGTAGGCCTGCAATCTGCAGAACCTAAAGAATGGATTGGGTCATGATTTGGGTCCAGACTAGTGAGTTATACATAGGTTGTATATGTATTGTCACTTTCTCTACGTGTTCCTACAAGATTCCTTGCGTTAATGAAGTAAATGGGCAGACACTTCTGTCTTTCATTTCTTCTAGCAACCTTTGGAAACATCAAAAATTACTGTCAATTGACCTTGATAAAGTGGCACTGCCCAGTTTTCGACAGAACCGACCCCAAGTGAGACCATTGTCCCCCGGAGAAAGTGGAGCATGGGACATTCCTGGAGGTAAATAATGAAAAGTTTGAAAGTTGCTGTTTTGGCTTTGCTCTTTGCATAAGCTTTGAAAAAAACTGCAAAACACAGCACAGCCGTAGGAGAGGCTACTGTTTATTTTCAGTTGTAAAAAACATGCATATAATAGTATGGCACTGTTATTAAAGGCTGTCTGATGAAGATTTTTTTTATACAGTAATAGTTTGTTCAGTAGAAAGTGTGCATGATATACTGGGAAGATCTTGGTGGGTGCATTTTGATAGTTGAGCTTTGTTTGGATGCTGTTCAGTCTGATGGGTAAGCAGCAGCCCCTGTCCTTGGGAGCTGTGACCACATTCCCACTTCTAATTAAAATTTCCTTCTATCAGTGCACAAAAGCAGCGTCCAGAAGAGTTTGTCAGAATGGTGCCTTGGACAAGCCATTACACTAACAAATGATGTCTAGCATTCAGAACAGCTTTCAAGTGGGCAGCTCTCCTTCACAAGATTGGCATTGCAGGCTGAACTGGAAGCAGCTGGAAAGCCTCATATGTGCTCTTTTCCCAGTCTGAGCTGCTAGACCAGAGACACCTGTAAAAATGAAGGGTTTGTTTCTCTAGGTCATTCATCCTCACTGTATGCACAGTCTCTGGAGCAAGCAAGCATTAAATCACTTTCCTCGTTCCATCAGGATTTGAATTACAGCAATTACTTAGTAGTAAGATTATGGTCAAGTGTCTGCATCTCTCTTCTCATGCAAAACAGAAGACTGTTGTTACAGGGGAAATCTGGGCTATGCTTTCATGTGCCCAAATAGGTCAAGGTGGAAATGCTGGTGCTTTTCTGTAATGTTAGCATCCCATCTGATTTTCACTAATCGGTCTGCAGCTGTTAATCTTCCTGTCTGAAATGTAATCTGATTAATGGCTGCCGGGGCTTTGAACAAGAGTTAGCTGCGGATCCTTTTGGTAGATGGCATTAGCACCACAAAGCCATCGTGGCTCACGTGGTAACTGTGCCTTCCAAACCTCTTTGCCTTTCTAGGTATAATGCCAGGCCGGTACAACCAGGATGTGGGACAGACCATTCCTGTCTTTGCCTTTCTCGGTGCCATGGTGGTCCTGGCGTTCTTTGTGGTGCAGATCAACAAAGCGAAGAGCAGGCCAAAGAGACGGAAACCGCGCGTGAAACGGCCGCAGCTGATGCAGCAGGTTCATCCACCAAAGACACCCTCTGTGTGAAAGCTCTGCCTTGCCAAAGATGACCTCCTTTGACTGCTTGCTTTCCAGGGTGATGGATCGCTCCCCATGGAGGTGCAGTGAATGTGCACCTGACATCATCTCATAGTCTTTGGTTTGTGGAGAGAAAAAAAAGAACCTCAGCTGATCATCTGTACATAAAACTGCAGCTTTAAGCAGCTGAAGCCACCAAAGACTTGAATACTGTTTAAATGGCTGCTTAGTCACTACATATCCCAACAGGGGGGAAATGGACCTTTTTTTTAAGCTGACCAAACTAAAATTTATTTCTTTAGAGGCTATTTTCTATATTTATTGTTGGGGAGGGCGGGGGAAAAGTCACTTTAAGGACCTCTGCTAAGGAAAAACAAGTGCATTTTTTTGGATGGAATGCAATTTTCTAGAATGGTTCTATGCTGAAGAGTATAATATGCACCATTAAAGGAGGAAGGGACTGAGAGAGACCAGTACAAATCAGTGAGGCATACTCCTGCAGTTTATTTTTATAAAGCCAACTACCATGATGTTTTGTAATTTTTGGTCACGATTTCACCGTTGTTGGTGAAGCAGATTTTTCAATAAATATGTTATCTATATGAAGCAAAGACAGTGTTCTAAGTGGCTCTTCTTTCCACTTGCAGTCAAAGAGAGCAAATTGCTGGGTAGAGAAGATTTTCATGTCACCTGTCTTCCCACCATATCTTTGTCCTTACCAGTGGTTTCCCAAGTTGCAGACTTCTTTGGAGCACTAACTGGGCAGTCATGCAAACAGTGCTTGCTCTGAGTGAGAACAGAGTTCTGGAAACCTTCAAAACTCAGCAGCACATAAGGAGAGAGCTCTCAAAGAGCTGTATAGGAAACTGTCATGGGAATGGCACCTAACAGCACTATGTGGTGTCACAGAGATGAAAACCCAGTCTCCTTTAGTTTGTCCTGCTTGAAAGCCTGTGAATTGTCACTGGCTGAAATAAGGATGCAGGCACAAGTTTTCCCCCCTGTCCGTGCGGTACCAGTTAATGTTGCCATAATTGAAATAGCTTCTCTCTTTTCTAGTGAAACTGAGCTTTTCCCTGCCAAGTGCTTTCATCATTGTTCCAGATGAGCACCTTTTCCTAGGAGGCAGGAGCTGGTGGCTGCCTGTATTTGTGAATGGAATGGCAGCCTGGGCAGGTAAGCAGTGCGCACTGGGGTGAACGGTCCTGGGGGAGTTCATGGGCAGCTCTGGGCATGGCTGGAGAAGGAGGCAGCAGGGACAGCCCTGCTGGGCAGTCTGCACCCATCCTCTTAGGGCTTAGCAGCAGGGATGGGGGTGGGCTGTGGGAAGTGCACTGCAGGAGAGAACTTTGCTCCATGTAGTCATGAAGCCATGGATAGGGTTTGTGAGTGTTCTGCAAAAAAGATCAGGCAAACCAATTTTCCCTAACTTGAAGAGTGGTTGCCTTTTTCCAACATTTCTCTTCTGGAGGATGCACTGGAAGAGGCAACATTCTGTTGCCATAGCAGAGAAGGCATTGAGCTTTTGGAGACGCTAGTGGAAGATTCTTAGGGTTGAGAAGATGGTCCCAAGGCTGGGCTGCTTGTGCCATCCCAGTGGGGCTGGAGCCTCTCTGAACATAGCTCCATAATGACAGGGAGGGGGTTTTCAGCATCTTAGCTGTGACATTAGGGTGAGGACCATCATAGGACCAGTCAGCAGCAGCTGTGCAACCTGTCCAGGATGTAAAAAATCTTATCAGTAAAGGTGTGAAATCTCAAGGGCCAGACTTCAGAAGGGATTGCAGGTAGGGAAGCATAATTGTGATCAGTGTTTTTATTTGTATGACAAAGGACTGGCCATTTGCATTTTTGTACCTTCTACAGTCTTCAAAGGTAATAATGTGGAAAACATTAACAGCCCTTCTTCCACCTGCCAAGGGGACACAGCAGCAGGTAAAGCTGCCAACCCACAGGGACCCTCGGGTTATGGCTTGCAGCCCAGGGGCTGGAGCACCCAGATCAATGGGAGAAAGGGAGGAAATGATAAGGGACGGAGCCCAGAGCCACTGAGCAGAGAAGCTGTCTGCTGTGTTGATGTGTGAGATGAGATGCACCTGTTTGGTTTGAGGTTCTTCCATCAGAGGGAAACTGGAAAGCTTTGGTGGCACTTCTCAGGTTGGTGCTAATGAGGAGACTTGCTCCTCATCGCAGCACTAATGAGAGATTAAAGCTACACTGCAGCCTTGAAACCAGAATCAAGCTGTATCAAAGCACCAGTCCGAATTAAGAGCCTTTCCCAGTGGCTGGTATTTTACAGCCCAGTGGCCAATTTCTAAGTCGTAGAGGCCAATTATTTCCGAAGCCTTTGGTGTGCAGCTAATGAAGGCTTGGAAGGACCCTTCTAAGTGTTTATAAGCTCTGTAGGCAGCAGAGATGTAATGGAGGTGGCAGGCACAATTAGCCATCCATAATTCCTCCTAGCAGCTGATTAAAGTCTCTTTATCCGTCTTACCAAGATCAGAAGGGCACATATTTGGGAAATCAAAAATGCATTAGGGGCTGTCAGCCAACGCCAGGGCCTGTGTGCTGAGCCCTGGGGCAGTGGCCTGTGCCAGGAGTGGCACAGAGCTGCTGTGTGCCCCCCATGCTGGGAATGGGCCCATCATTCCTGTGGGGTGCAGCCTCCTCTGCAGCATCAGTTGCCCCATCCCGTTATCCTGGCATCCCCTTTGCCTGCGTGGAGCAGGGAGTGGGATGGGGTGGCTCCTCTCCAGTCTCCCCGTGCAGGAAAACACCAGTGGGCTTTTAGCTGCTGCGGAAACTCGCAGGGCTGCTGGCCTCATCGATGCTTCACCCAACGAGTTAGGGTGTGTGAGCTGCAGCTGCCTTCCTTCACCCTTCCCGGGGCACTCCATAACGCCCTTTGGTGGCAATTCCATGCCCGGGTGAACAGAGCAGGATGAGGGTGGCCTCAGTCTGCCCAGCCCTGTGGTGATGATAATTTCGGGGAAAGCGAGAGCAGAGCCCCCAGCCAGCTGCCCCGGTCCCGCGCTGGGAGCCCAAGGGGCGGCTGTGCTCCGCAGGAGCGCTCCGCGGGCCGGGGGTGCCGCGGGGCGCTGTGAGCAGGACGGGGCCGGGCTGAGCTCCTGCCAGCGCTTCCCACGGCCGCCTCCCGCCCAGCGCCCCCTCCCGCGGCCCGGGGGGCGGGGGGTCCGCACAGCCCCGCGCCGCCCCCGGGGCCCGCGGAGGGGCCGCGCTCCGCGCCCGCCCGGCCACAGCCCCGCGATGGAGCGGGCGGCGGGCGAGGCCCGGCCCCTGCTGCCGGCGCCGGGCGGCTCCGCCGGGCTCTCCTCGCCCGGGCTCTCCTCCGCCGGCGCCGTCTTCATCCTGCTCAAGTCTGCGCTGGGCGCGGGGCTGCTGAGCTTCCCCTGGGCCTTCGGCAGGGCCGGCGGGGCCGTGCCCGCCCTCCTGGTGGAGCTGGTAAGGTGGACTCGGGGGTGACGGGCTGCGGCAGCGGCAGCCGAGGGGCGCCGGTCCGGAGGGGGAGCGGAGGGAGGGGATGCACCTGCTCGGGTGTCCGGGGAGCTGGCGGCACCCCCGTCCCGACCCCGCAACACCCTGAGGTTGTTGTTGCGGAGCCACCTTAGGGATGCCCTTTGCAGCTGAAGCCACACTTGTAGCTGGCTTATAACAGTGTAAATGGGTGTCCGCTCCCGTACACGACCCAAAACCCCAAACCTAAACCCGAAGTACCACGTGTGTCTCCATCCATTTGCTGACCTTTGTTACCCAGGGCCACAAGGTGATCTGGCTGGTAACCTGATCCCTGGCCGTGGGCCTGCTGTGTCCTGCTCTGCTCTGGGGGCGGAGGAGGGTCGGCGTGGTGCTCCCTGCTGGCTCTGTCCCCGCAGGGCTCGCTGGTGTTCCTGGTCAGCGGGCTGGCCGTGCTGGGCTATGCCGCGGCCCGCAGCGCCCAGCCCACCTACCAGGGCGTGGTCCGGGCCGTGTGCGGGCCGGCCGTGGGGAAGCTCTGTGAGGTCTGCTTCCTCCTCAACCTCTTCATGATCGCCGTGGCCCTCCTCAGGGTGGTGGGCGACCAGCTGGAGAAACGTGAGTTGTTTCCCCTCGCTGTGTTTGGGACTTGGTTGGGGTCGGCAGCTCTCAGGAGTGAGGGGAAGGTGCTCCCACGTGGGCTGGGGTCACCCCCAGGGTTTTCCTGGAAATTCTAAAGACACGGGGCTCCCTGGTTCTGCCGTGGTGTGATGCTCCCGACCTCCCTGGGCCATCTTTCAGGGTGCAGCTGACCCCCCACTGCCTCCCACAGTGTGTGACTCCCTGTACCCCAAGGAGACACTGAGTGGGGCCCCTCAGCTGCCCCCCTGGTACGTGGACCAGCGCTTCACCCTCTCAGCTCTCTGTGTCCTCGTCATCTTCCCACTCTCTGTCCCCAGGGAGATCGGCTTCCAGAAGTACTCCAGGTACCACCTGGGCTATCCCTGTGGTGGCCCACCCCTAGGTACCCTGTACCCCAGGTTGCCACCTCCCAGGAACCTGTGGGGCCATGGGAACCCCCCTCCTCCCTTCCTCCTGGCTGTGTGCTGATGCTCTCCCATGCCCTGACAGCATCCTGGGCACGCTGGCTGCCTGCTACCTCACTCTGGTCGTCATCCTGAAATACTACCTGCAGGCAGAGAGCCTGCGTTTGACTGAGCCGCCCCAGCCCTCCAGGTAGGAGGGTCAGCCCCATGTCCCTCCTGCCCTGACCCCCATGGCCTGAGCAGTGACATGGGGGCAGGGCTGGAGGCAGGGCAGGGGTGGTGCTGGGCCCTGTGTGTGGTAGGGGTGAGCTGGGGACAACTCACAGTGGATGATAACTCCCAGCCCCAGCTTTCACCCCTTTTTCCCAGAATCACTGGGTGAGAGATTCCCATAGTGCCATCCAGGCTGCGCAGTTTATGGCATGAAGGTTTCGTCTCCATGAGAGCTCATGCCTTTTGTTCTGTGCTTCCTCTCCACATGCCACAGGCCCTCCTCCTGGACCTCCATCTTCAGTGTCATTCCCACCATCTGCTTTGGTTTCCAGGTAGGTCACCCTGGCCCCTCTGGCCGCAGCTGCCAGGGCAGTGCTGGCAGCCCCCGATGGCGTCCCAGACCATGGGGATGCCATCCCTTGAAGGGCAGGTTGCAGGAAAGGGGGCCTGTGGCTGTCACCAGCGGTGGCTGTGAGGCAGGACACAAACAAGTGCCTGGGAATGGGGCAGAGCGGGACAGGGCACCCATAGGTGGGAGAGAGGACGCTGGGGGTGGGAGCTGTGCCTGCATGGGGCCCCAGCACCATCCCCCCTTGCCTTGCAGTGCCACGAGGCATGTGTGGCCATCTACAGCAGCATGCGCAACCAGAGCTTCTCCCACTGGGTCACCGTCTCTGTGCTCTCCATGCTCATTTGCCTGCTCATCTACTCCCTCACTGGTAACCCCAGCAGCAAATTCTTCACTCCTCCTTGCCCTGGGGGTCCCCTCTCCCTTTGGCTCATCCATCCTCCTCAGAATTCCTCTGTCCTGCTCACTGCTCGGCCACCCATCCCCATGTCCCTGTCAGCAGGGCTCTACGGCTACCTGACCTTCGGCGAGGCCGTGGCGTCCGATGTCCTGATGTCCTACCCAGGGAATGACCCGCTTGTCATTGTCGCCCGCCTGCTCTTTGGCATCTCCATTGTCACCATTTACCCCATTGTGGTGCTGCTGGGCAGGTGAGGGGAATGGTGACAAGCTGGGTGTCCCCCGAGCCGGTGCAGCTCCCCTGGGTGCCGTCAGCCCCCGCAATCCTCCCTCCCAGATCCGTGGTGAAGGACTTGTGGGCAGCCCCGAAGCGCGGGGCCGTGGCAGTGTCTGAGGCACACGAGCGGCGCAGCAGGGTGGCACTGACGGTCACCTGGATGGCTGCCACGCTGGGCATCGCCCTGTTCGTGCCCGACATCGGCAAAGTCATCGAGCTCATCGGGGGCATCAGTGCCTTCTTCATCTTCATCTTCCCAGGCAAGAGTAGGCACGGGGAGGGAGGAAAGCGGGAGGGGGTCACGGGTGCCAAGGGCATCGCTGCAGGGGAAGGTTTGGGGGTGCAGGGCTGTGCTTGTGGGGGACAATGCAGTGAGGCTGGGTGAGGGGTGCTGTGTTGGGGCTGAGCTTCCGCACTGACAGCAGGGCTGTGCCTCGTGTGTGTGACTGGGACCCGCAGCCTCGGGCCACGCAAAAAGTGAGTGTCTGCGTGCTCAGCGGTGGTGGGGGCAAGGGAGGGGGTAGGGACAGGGCCAGGGTGTGGTATCCCATGGGCCATGGCCAGGGCAGATCCTTGGGGTCACCCTGGTCAAGGTGGGAACCCTGCCAGGAGGGGGATTTGCATGTGGAGGGAAGCGCTCTACCGGGGCTGTGCCTGGGAATGTCCCTGCATACCACGGCTGTGTCCAGGCATCAAGGAGGTGCCCGGGTACCAGAGTGACTTTAGGGGCAGAAGAACTGTGGGGTTTGGTGGCACTGGGGCACCCAGTGGGGACTGGGTGGTCAGGCTGGGGGTCAGAGAGGCAGGGACAGGAAGCCATCAGGTGTTCAGTGTCTGTTGTGCCAGGGCGGCGTGCCCCCATCACTGCTCCTCTCTGGAGGGGCTGGGGCACAGCAGCAGCCCGTGTCAGGGGGCTGACATGGTGCTGGTGAGTTTGGGTTAGTGTGTGCTTAAGCATGTCTATGGTGCCCCTGGGGGAGCAGCAGAGGTTGAGGGAGGATGGAGGTTATGTGGGTGGAAGCAGCAGCCCAGGACATCATGGTCTTGGTCAGGAGGGTGCTCTGGGGACCCATGAACATCTGGGGAGGGGTGCCAAAGTGCTGGAGGGGCCAAGGCAGAAGGCCAGCAGGGGCATCCAGGTGGGTGACAAGGGCTTGGAGAGGTCCCTTGGGGAGACCTGCCAGAGCATGAGCCCATCATGAGGAGAAGGGACGACGTGAGCTGGGTGATGGAGACAGTCCCAGCCTGCCCCGGACAGTCCGGGAAGGAGCACGGTGCTGAGGACCCTGCGGCAGAGCAGCAGCCGGGTTTGGGGTGAGTGCTGCATCCCAGGGGCTTAGTTTAGTCTGGGGCGAGGCAGGCCGTGTGCCTGGGGAGGAGGGAGCAGGGAGGTGCAGAGCCAGGGCTCCCTCCAGGCTTGGGGCTGGAGCCGGGGAGAGGACAGGGCATGTGGTGATAGGATGGAGCTGGGGTGTGTGGGAGTGGTCGTGCCGAGCACAGGGTGGGGGATGTGGGTCTCTGTCAGCAGGGCCACTGGGCACAGGCAGAATTGGGAATGATGGTGTGGTGGCATCTGCTGGCTTTTGGACCAAGGTTTGTGTGTCATTGCAGTGGACAGGGGACTGCTGGGCTCTTCAGCCATCGACTGGGATGAGGCAGGGGAGGCTGACCCTGCCGAGAGCCCCACAGCCAGAGGAGCTGGGGTACAGGGGTGGCCCGTAACTGAGGTCAGCTCTACCCCGGCACCTCTGCTCGTGTCGCTGCAGGGCTGCTCTCATCGCCTGGGGGGTTCTCTCCGTGCTCGGCGGTGCCTTCGTGTGCGGGCAGAGCGCTGCCCTGGCCGTGCTGGGGCTGCTGCGCTGAGGGACCACAGAGCCCCGTGGTGACCCCACCGCCACCCTCCCTGTCCCGCCCCGAACGCAGCCACATCGCTGGATCCCACGGCGCTTTTATTTGGCATCACCGTCCCCGTTGTACAGTGGCTAATAAAGACTGGAGAGGGCACTGGCAAGGGTCCAAGCCACGCACCCTGAGGGACCCCCACGCACGGCGGGGTGGGTGTGGGGTTGGCACAGACAGACACACACACACAGATGAAATACAGACCCCAGGAAGGAGGGGAGGCAGCCACCCTCACACCTACAAGGCACCAGCTGCAACTGTGCACATGCAAAGGAAACCCCTGGGGACCCCCGACAGCTGGAAAGGACTAAGGGGCACCTTGGGAGAAGGGAAACCCCTCCTCTCCCACCACCCTGACACCCCCCTCAGGCACAGGTCCCCATCCCTGCAGGCACAGCCCCTCAACCCCCCCCAATCTTCTCCCTGGGTGGCCCTGGGGACTTGCACAGACCCCCCCAAGCTACTCCCTGCTCTCAGGGGGAGCTTGCTCCAGCCTCCCACCTCCCACTCCCATCCCTCCTTCCTAGTGCCTGCCTGCCTGCCTGTACCCATTGCCCCCCCTCCCTGCCTACCTATGGAGGGTGTCCCCCTCCCCAAACCCTGCCAGCCCCTCCCTGGCAGTCCTTCTTTCCCCCAAGACCACTCCAGACCAGGGAGAGATGCCCCAGGTGACGGGGTAGCTGAGGGAGGACTCTGGGGTGGGGGACACACACATGGGAGTTTCCTTCACTGCAGCCAGGTCACACCGACACCTCTCCCAGGCACGGCCACCCCGCAGAGGGGACAGGTGCTGGTGGCCCCCGGCACGGACCGTCACTCTCGGCTCAGGGTGCACCAGGCAGCTGCAGGGGAACATCACTGCAGGGTCACACCTGCCCAGCCCCACATCACCCCGAATCCCAGCCAGCCCAGCCCAGCCCATGCTGCCCTTCACACCATGCCACCTGCCCACCCTTGTGCCCCAACAACTGGAGAGGTGCTGGCTGCCCAGGGGTCCCTGTCCCCCACCCTCTGGGGTGGCTGCCCTCCTACCTGGCACGGCCACGCTGGAGATGGCCTCAGGCTGGCTCAGCGTGTCCACCTTGACGTGCTGGAAGCTCTTGCAGGTGGCACTCTGCAGGTGCCTGCGCCCAGGTAGGAGACAGTGGGTGACACCCAGCCCCCCCAGAAAAGCCATCCCAGCCCCCCTCAGCACCACAGGCTCTGGCAGGGCTGGGTGCCAGCAATCCTGCTCACTTCCCCTTGTGCAGAGCACCCTGCCTTGGTTCAGGACACTGACCCCTCTCATCACCACATCCAAAGGCACTCCCAGGTGGGAGGTGCAGAGAGACCCACCCCAACCCCCCTGTCCTGTTTACAGGGACAGCCCTAAGACAGACAGACAGACAGACAGCTCCTCAGTCCTGCCATCAGACAGGGGACAGAGTTTGGGGCTCAGGTGTTCTGACAACCCTCCAAGCCTCCCAAAATAGGCTTTTTCATCCCCTCCCCTACCTCTTCCAGTCCTCCTCGGTCTCCCAGAACTCGTAGACAACGAAGGTGACCCCATCAGGCAGCTTCACCGCGGTGACGCTGGCAGAAACAGGGAGAGGGGGTGAGCCCCCAACATGGGGCATCCCCCTGCCTCTGCAGCCACAGGTGTGCTCTAGGGTGGGCTACCAAGGGGGCACCCAGCCCCAGCAGCCCAGGTAGAGGTAGCCCCCCCACACCATCCCAGCACTCCCCAGCCCACGCAGAAGCAGTGTTGGTGGCTGAGCATGACTACATCCCAAATCCTGGCTGCTTTGTCTCATTCCTTCACTTGGTCCCCCCTCCAGCCCATGCCAAGCCCCCACCTCCCCAGCCCCCGACGGGCAGCTGCTGATGGTACCCACTGGAAGCAGTCCCGCTCCCCGGCCACGCTCTTCAGGTACTGCTTCAGGGAGCTGCAGAACTCGCCCAGGTGCTTGTGTGACACCGTCATCTCGTTCCTCACCAGGAGCAGGTACTGCCAGGCCCCCAAACACAGCATGTGAGACCACAGAAACACAGTGACCCCCCCCAAATGTGGCTCTGTGCTGCAGGATGGTGGTGGGGCACACTCACCGTGCAGGCTGTGCTCTCGCTGTCCGACAGCCGCTGGTGCAGGTCAAACCAGAGGGTCTGGGAAAAGGGCAAAGGGAGCAGAGGGGGCGGTGGATGGGCTGAGGCTGCAAGGCCCTCTGTGCTTGGTGGGTTTCTGTCCCCAGCACTTGCAATGACTGTGCCCCCTTCTCTACAGGGAACCGACTCCAAGAACCGCTTGCACCTCCAGTCAGGACCCTTCACAAAATTCCCTGTGCTCCCATTGCAGCCAACGTCCAACACCACATCCTCATCCCTGCCCCAAAACAGCTGGGGCAAGGTTGCTGAATTGTCCCTGGGATGGCAGGACAGCCTCATGCAGGGAAATGCTGGCCCTTACCTTGTCCTCCAGCTTGCCAATCAGCTTGGCCAGCCTGTTGATCTGCCCCTCCAGCCCCTCTGCCTTGGTGTCAGGGGAACCTGTGCAGAGCCAGGAGACACTGATGGAGTGAAGGGCACCTGCAGGCACCCCCTGAGAGCTCTGTGCTCCTGCTGGGACTTGAGTGCTCCAAGCCACCCCAGGCAGCCAGCACTTACCAGCCTGGAAGTTCTTTCCTTGCTCCCTGGAGACCATCCAGGTGGTGGGAGAGTAGCTGGGCACAGGGTTGTCATACCAGGTGTCACTCAGGCCGTGACCATCCTTGCTGGGGTAGTGTCTGCAACCAGAGAGCACACAGGGTGTCAGGACACAGAGGGCATGAGCCAGCCTGGGGAGCCAGCACTGGAGCATCCCATCTGGCAGCTCTGCAAATAATGCCAGACCCCTTGGAGAGCAGCAGTGCCCACACTGTGCCCAGGCAGTGCAGGTTTCCTTCCTGCACCACCGCTCAGCATCAGCCAGTGTGGGGAGTGGGTCAGAAACAGAGGAATGTCAGTGGGCTGCTCCCAGCAGCCATCACTTCTCCATCTGCGTATGGAACAGCACAGCCCCCCTGGCACCACCAGCAGCCTTCAGGGACCTTTTCTGTCCTACTCAGACACCTGCAATACGGGGCATTCGGGCCCCTGAAGCTGTGCCCAGCCAGCTGCACCTTACTGGGGCTGGTTTTGCAGTCCAATGGCTCTGGTGGCTTTCAGAGAGGAAAAGCTGCTGCCACCCAGAGTGCCCCTGCCTGAATGGCTGCCCATGAGCAGAGGCTGTGTATCCCACTGACAGACTGCAGCTGCAGTTCTCCTGGAGAATAGAAACACAACCACTGTAGCACTGCCTCCAACATGATTTCGTTGGGTCTACAAAGCCCATTCGGCTTAGAGGTTTCTCAAAGCTCCAAACAACTGTCCTGAAACACTTGCACAGATGGAGCATCCATAATCACCATCCAGCATCACATCCTTGGTGATCCTCCCAGGACCCTGTTTATTTGCAAGCCAGAGAGAACGCTAAGATCTGCCATCTTCACAAGGGCTTGCAGCTGCCATCCATGTGAGTGAGATGGGAATGACCCTCTCCTTTCTTCTCCACCAACAGGAAGCCTGTGCCACAGAGGGAGAGGCTGAGCAGCTCAAAGGATTTCCAGTGTTTCCTTCCAGCAAGAGCAGCTCTGTGCCAGCTGACTGTTGACAGATGTGTCTGGGAGCCCTGGCTCCTCTTGGCATCTTCTGTTAGTCAAGCAGCTCCCAGCTGGATAAAACATGCCGAGTGCCCTGGAGCCAATGGGCACCACACCAGCCAGCATCTCCCTGCCCTCCTGTCCCTCCCCTGGCACCTGGCTCCTCCTAAGCACAATTGCTGGGTTCTCTTTCCCCAGCTACCTCATAAATCAACCAGCATGGGCTCCACCATAAACACAGGAACATGATGTGCAGATCTGGTCCCAAAGAACATCTGCAAGATAAGGAAGCAGGAGCAACAATAAAGGGTGCAGGAGCATCCCTTTGCTCAGGCTGTGCAATTATACCACTGCTGGTCCTGGATTATCCCCTGTCAATAGACAGGAAATTAGGCAAAAACAGACAGAGATTTATTTTAATCACAATTTAATGAGGTGTCTCCATCTTGGACCTTTGCCTCCACACTTTGTTCTACAGCCCTTTATTTTCCTGCTTTTTAGGCCACCTCTTTGTCTTCATGCAGATTCAGGAGATAATTTTTGTTGGATTTGTTTTTCTTTTTAGCTATTATTTTAACAAGAAAACAACTGCAATACTCCCTATTATAATCTGGGCCCACACATCAACTATTAAAAGCCAGCAAAGTCTTTCATGGGCTCTAATTGCTCTGCCTGATGTTGGGTTTGTTTCCTCTTCATTGTTTTGCAGGAGCTCCTACTTCTTTTTGTAGAAAGTTTGCCACAAAACAAAGAGAAGAAAGGGATGTGAGATGATAAAACCCACAGCATTCCTGGTAGAAAAGCTGCTGGGATGGTGGCAGAGCTGCCCAGGTCTCTCTGTGCTCCACAGAGTCTGTCTTTGGAGGGAGCTGGGATTTTCACTCTCCATGTGCCCACCCATGGCTTGGGGAAGCCAAAACATCCCCATGCAAGCATCCCAGGCCTCCTGGCTTGAAGGAAGGGCAGGAGAAGTGTTGGTCTGACAAACAGACGGGTTTCCACGGCACCCTGTCCTGGTTAGAGCTGTGACATGGCACTCTGGGGAGCTGTGTGACACTGACACCGAGGGAGCTGTGCTGAGGCTGCTGGCAACTCCCCATACTCAGCCAGGGCAGCATCGGGAATCTGGAGTTGTTCTGCTCTGTATTGCCCAAGCTCGGTGGTGTGTGCTGGGCTGCTGCCTCGGGGACTCATGGTGCTGCCTGGCCTCAGTGCACAAAGGCATTTTCCCTCTGGAGCATTACACCCACCGAGTGCTCTGGCAGGAGGGGCAGCATCCCTGGCACGGGAATCTGCCCCTGTGGGCCGCCCCAGCTCAGCTCAGGCGGGTGCCTGTGCTTTGCCCTGGGTGGGAGCAGTGGTTTGGTTTGCACCCAGGCTGCCCTGCCAGGAGCTGCCCTGGTTTGCATCCCCACCACAGCGCTCTCCTTGGGGGGGGGACCCCGGGCA